GTTTAGCTGTAGGAGTTTAGCTGTAGGAGTTTAGCTTTAGCTGTAGGAGTTTAGCTTTAGCTGTAGGAGTTTAGCTGTAGGAGTTTAGCTTTAGCTGTAGGAGTTTAGCTGTAGTGTTTTGAAGGAAAGGGAAACACTCTGCGGTATGTCTGTTTGCTGTAAATGTGTGTAATGTGAGCTGGTAATTTCCCACCCACTGGATTGTCACTGTACAGCTGTCTATAAGGCATGTCACCTTTGAGTTATTTGAGCATTATGGAATGGAGAGGTTCCCGCCCAGTTTTAGATTCTCACTTTAGATAAGAAATCTAAACAGCTCAGAGATGAACAGCTCTGATAATCACTTTTTCAGAGAATTATCCAATTTAATATCCCTTCATATTACATAACATTCATACTGAAACTTCACATATGCTTATTTATTAAACCAGTGTTTCGTATATTTGTAGTGTATTTCTGTGTGTGTGTGTGTGTGTGTGTGTGTGTGTGTGTGTGTGTGTGTGTGTATATATATGTATATGTACACACACACACGGTGGAGTCCAAAAATCTGAGACCACATTGAAAATCTGGAACTGTTTTCATTTGAATAAACACCAGAAATGTTGAAAATTTTGAAGAATTTAAAACATTAAAAGTTATGAGAAGTAAAATGTAGAAATATTGTTTCTGATTCAGTATTTAAACTGAAGTGAGTGTGTGAAGCTGATCATGTTGAGTGTTTGTAGTAAAAGCTCAGAGTGTGTTTAGTCTGATCTCTTCCACTGACGCTCATGTTCAGACTCTCAGCTGGATCTGATCTGCTGATCAAACACTTGTACACTAACTTACAGAGCCCATGCAGCCTGAGTGCTCACTGTCATTAAAGAGAGATACTGAGAAACTCAAACTGAAATTAGAAAAGAAGGCAGAATTGAAGCTTTTTCACCGGCGTGCTCTGAACCCACTGTCACTCTCTGTACGTCATCCTCTCTGATGATGATCTCGTCACAAGCAGTTCAGTGTACGAATCTCCTCAGCGGCTTGTGTGATACATAAACACACACACACACACATACACACACACACACACACACACTCTGAGGACTGAAGTAAAGAATGTGCTGAGGGGCGGAGTCAGCATGTTGTTCCACATTCCAGCATCTCACAGCTCAGATACAAAACACCAGTAGTGTGTGTGTGTGTGTGTATACTTGTCTTGCTATGCTTTCAAGAACCTCACATCCTCACAATGATAGGACAACAAGATTGTTTGGCACAGCTGAGGACATTTTGCTGTTGTTTTTACCACAAATGACATATTTTTGTAAAAAAAACTATGAGTTTTGGAAACTGAGATTAAGATTAGCATAAATGTGAAGTTTAGGTGTAGCGTTACTTCGTGCTTGTGTGTGTGTAAAGTTGATGAATAACTCACAGAGAATCAGGAAGTAATTCAGACTGTGTTAATCATTGATCAGCTTCAGCCTCCATCAGTAATAAATCAACAGAAACCAGCAGAGTCCGTTTACCGTAAACTACAATAACCACCTCAATAAGATGCTTATCTAGAACACGCCTCAAGGACAGCAGGTTAAAGGTCAGCAGTCACAGGCAGGAGGGGGATGTTACTGATTCTCCTCACTGTAAGACACATCACTGATGCATTGTGGGCCGTTGGTGTGTGCTGTTGGGAACGTTAGTTTTCCATGTGGAGGTAATGTAATCTGTAATCCTCTGTTTATGACAGATTCACAGGAGAAGAAATCTTGGTATAAATTAAAGAGATGGGAGGGGCTTGATTTACATATCGTCGCCACATCTGTTCCACCCACCACATGTTAATCTGCTCATGAGTACAAAACAGATCCAGGATGTCCTGGAATATTCACAAACATGGGAATCTGCATGGATTAATGTAACCTGGGGTTGTTTTGTTTGTTTTAGGATGTGGGATTAATATAACCTGGGTTTTTTAGAACATGAGATTAATATAACCTACAGAATCTGTATAGATTTTTTTTAATTTACTTTATTTACTATACAACAACATAAATAACCCCGGGTTATATTAATCCCACATTTAAAAAACAAGCAAAATAACACAGGATTAATAAAATCTGGGGTTATTTTATTTGTTTTAAAGTATGGGATTAGTATAACCTGGTTATTTATTTTGGGGTTATTTTGTTTTGTTGTATAGTAGGTACAGCTGCTAGAATGTTCACAGATTCTGTAGTCTGTAAAATTTACGGACACGGCAGATTCAGACGAGATTAAAATCCCTGAGAAATTCTGGGTGTAATTACATTACACTTCCAATCTAAAACGAATCCAATCTCATTAAACCGCATCATCAAATCTATCAGAGGTTACTGAGCTACTGAACACACTTTGAGACAGATTTGTGATGATATACACTCATGGTCCTTCAAGGGTTCTTTAGTAAAGATATTGGTACTATATAGAACCATCAACACACAAAGAACCATTTGCATGATTAAACGGTTTTTTGCATGGTAAAATTGCTCTTCAGATTGATTGAGAATGTGGGGTATATGGTTCTATATAGAACCTGTTTGAAAAGGGTTCTATATAACACCAAAAAGGGTTCTTCTACTGTTACAATCTTGACATTGTAACAGCAGCAGAACCCTTTTTGGTGCTATATAGAACCATTTACAACACATTCTTTATCAGTCATACAGAGAACCACTTATGCATGCAAATGGTTCTTTGAGTGTTCATGGTTCTATACAGAACCACTGTCTTTACTAAAGAAGCCTTTTGTAAAAGTGCAGTTAGCACTGTGCTAATTAGTGGGGTATAAGCCTCTATTACTGGTAAGCTGAGTTAAAGAGCTGTATTTTCAGATGTTTATTAAAAGCAGTGGTGGGCAGTAATGAAGTAAATGTAATTCGTTTTTGTACTTAAGTAGTTTTTTGTGTATCTGTACTTTACTGAAGTGTTTACATTTTGGGTGACTTTTTACTTTCACTCCTCTACATTTCAAAGTCAAATATCTCACTTTTTACTCCACTACATTATGGGAAATCTGTCGTTCCTTTTGGTTTATGTGTGAATAAAAACGTAACAGGTCAAAACGAAAGAAGCGCAAAGCAAGAACACCAATCAGGGCACAGCGCTCACTTTGTTTTGAGTTTGTCTTGACCTGTTGGTCATACTGACCCAATGCAAGCACACGGTTCAACGTCAGTGCAGCAGTGTACAGGTTTGGAAGTGCCTATTCCAACATAAATGATGAACTAACCTAACTTTGTGTAAATAGACCACAATATAGAAATATGTACACATATGCAGTTGTGACTGTCATGGTTCTTTTTTCTGAATTTATACAAACACTATTTCGTTTTATAGTAAATTAGTTTTGGCTAGTTTGTGTTTATGAACAGAGACCTACAGATGCAGTTTAGTAAAGGAAACTCATTTGTGAACCTGAGTTTAAAGTTTTTATAAAACATAAACTTGTAACTAAGTTCAAATAAATCTTAAACTGAAACTTTGCTTGTTCACAAAAGGTTATTTCAGAGCCACTCAGTTCTACCTAATGGAAACTGTTTGCCTTCAGTGTTTTGTGCTTTTGATAATTTTAATAGACATCAGCGTCACTAATTAATGACATTCTATTAAAAGATTGGTATTACAAGAGTGGAGTATTTTCACTTAAAATTAGTTGATTAAATAGAGCCATAATTAATCTTTTAGTACTTTCACTTTCAATACTTAAGTACATATGAAGGCAAATACTTCTGTACTTTTACTCAAGTGGTGGTCTAAAGGGAGAAGTTCTACTTTTACTGGAGTAATATTTGACCTTGGGTATCTCTGCTTTAACTCAAGTACATGGTTTGTGTACTTCGTCCAGCACTGACTAAAAGTGAGCTCTGAGCTCGACTGTCTAATAAAAGCTGAACTGAGCTCCACAGTTTAGAAGCAGAATAACTGAAAGAGTCTCTCCACGTTTTCTGTGTTTTACTGAAGGAGTTCAGAAGGTCAGAATCTGCAGATCTAAGATCATAAACAGACCGACGTTAGCCTCGTGGCTAGTAATGAAAAAGCAAACTTCAGATACTGAACACATCTCAGCTGTTTGGGGTAAACTGGACATTTTTATTTGTAAATTAGATTCTTTGCTGAACTTTCGTTTTAATGAAGATAAAAGGTGTTTGAGTGACAGACAGACGGAGTGCTGTTATCTATTTATGGTATGTAAGTAATATTTATGGCATGTATGCAGTGTCTCTGTAGAACATTACGTCAGGATCAGCAGAGGAGGCGGAGTGCAGTGAGGTTCCTGTTATTCTGGTGTTGAGAAGCTGAGTGTGAGATGGTTGTGATAAGCGTCAGGTTCTGTGTTTTCTGTAACTCTGATCTGGAATGTGTGTCTGAACTTCTCACACTCAGTTAGACGTTCTTTCAGATTCACCAGTGAAATGTGTGATTCTCACAGTTCCTTTTCAATGCAGTGAGAATAAATTACAGTGTGACCAATATATCGGTTGGACAGTAATATCAGCAGAAACTGATAACCTGTGGATTTATTGATATCTGACAATTATCATCAAGAACTCACCAATTTATTCATATCATTTGTATATATGTAACACTTCTGAAAACCACTGTCTGTGAACACAGCTTGTCGCTGCATCCACAAATGCAAGTTAAGACTCTGTCATGCAACGAAGAAACCAAATATAAACAGGATCCAGAAACGCCGCCGCCTTCTCTGGGCCCGAGCTCATTGAAGTTGTAGACGGTGTTTATATACTGGCCCCCTCCTCTCTGTAGATGGTGTTTATATACTGAGCACTCCTCTCTGTAGATGGTGTTTATATACTGACCCCCTCCTCTCTGTAGATAGCATTTATATACTGACCACTTCTCTCTGTAGATGGTGCTTATATACTGACCCCCCCTCCTCTCTGTAGATGGTGTTTATATACTGACCCCCTCCTCTCTGTAGATGGTGTTTATATACTGACCCCCCCTCCTCTCTGTAGATGGTACTTCGCGGATACGAAGCGTTTGGATGCGGAGAAGTTGCTGCTGGCTGATGGAAACCAACACGGAGCGTTCCTCATCAGACACTGCGAGAGTCAAGCAGGAGAACTATCACTGTCAGGTACACACACACACACACACACACACACACACACACACTATTTCCACTCAATATATACACACACACATACACACACACATGCTATTTTCACTCAATATACACACACAGTGTAGATACAAAGAGGTGGACTTGTATCTGAAGTGACCAGTGAGTGTGTGTGTGTGTGTGTGTGTGTGTGTATATATATATATATATATATATATATATATATATACACACTCACTGGTCACTTCAGATACAAGTCCACCATTGTCCATTTAATGGAATCCTGTTCTTCAATAGTCAGGACACCCACAGGACCCCCACAGAGCAGGTACTATTTGGGTGGTGGATCATTCTCAGCACTGCAGTAACACTGACGTGGTGGTGGTGTGTTAGTGTTTGTTGCGCTGGTCCACTCACTGTCCACTCTATTAGACACTCCTATCTTGTCAGTCCACCTTGTAGATGTAAATTCAGAGACGATAGCTCATCTGCTGCTGCAGTTTGTGTTGGTCATCCTCTAGTCCTTCATCAGTGGTCACAGGACGCTGCCCACAGGACGCTGTTGGCTGGATGTTTTTGGTTGGTGGACTATTCTCAGTCCAGCAGTGACACTGAGGTGTTTAAAAACTCCAGCAGCACTGCTGTGTCTGATCCACTCAGACCAGCGCAACACACACTAACACACCACCACCACGTCAGTGTTACTGCAGTGCTGAGAATGATCCACCACCCAAATAGTACCTGCTCTGTGAGGGTCCATGGGGGTCCTGACCACTGAAGAACAGGGTAAAAGGGGGCTAACAAAGTATCAGAGAAACAGATGGACTACAGTCTGTAACTGTAGAACTACAAAGTGCACCTATATTGTAAGTGGAGCTGATAAAATGGACAATGAGCGTAGAAACAAGGAGGTGGTCATAATGAAGTGGCTGATCGGTGTGTGTATACACACTTTACACACACACATGCACAGTGAGTGAGCAGGTGATGGAGTGCGTGTGGAATGAGGAAGTGCTGAGGGTCAGCAGTGTTCACTGATCAGGAACTGGAACATTTACTGTGTTTCACTACCAGCACAATCTGATCCGCAACAAACTGCAGTTATGTGACACATTTACACAGCACAGAGTCTCAGAGAGTCAGCTGACCTCTGTACAGCTGAACTAGAGAGAGAGAGAGAGAGAGAGAGAGGTAAAGGGTAACAGTAGGAGGGTGGGGTGATTTCTAGGAAGAAGCTGGCAGTCAGTTGATGTTTCACTGGAGCTTTACACTGAATTTAAACTGTGAAACTTTCACTTTTCTTTAGTTGTGTGTGTGTATTTATAGGGTGTGTTTGTGTGCGTGTGTGTGTGTGTGTGTGTGTGTGGAAGCATGTATGTGTGCGTGGTGTGTATAGTATGTGTGTGTATAGTATGTGTGTATATAGTGTGTATGCTGTGTGTATTTATAGTGTGGAAGTGTGTGTGTGTGTGTAGTATGTGTGTATAGTATGTGTGTATAGTATGTATGTATAGTATGTGTGTATATAGTGTGTATATTGTGTGTTGTGTATTTATAGTGTGGAAGTGTGTGTGTGCGTGTGTGTATATAGTGTGTGTATTGTGTGTATTTATAGTGTGGAAGCGTGCGTGTGTATAGTATGTGTGTAAGCGTGTGTGTGCGTAGTGTGTATGTTGTGTGTGTGTGTGTATTCATAGTGTGGAATTTCTCCTCCGTCTGGACAAGCTTCAGCTTTGACTTAAGTTATCCGACTAACTAAGAAATCCTGCTTTATAAAACAATACGCTGAACTACAAAACCACAAACTTTTAGTTACAATGAATTTTTGTTCATTTAATCATTGTGTGTATGTCTGTTCGTGTGTGTGTGTGTGTGTGTGTGTGTGTGTGTGTGTGTGTGTGTGCGTGCGCAGTGCTGGACCAGGGTAAAGTGAAGCACTACAAGATCCGACGGACGGACTATAACCATTATTTTGTGTCGAGGAACCACAGTTTCCAAACTTTAAAAGAGCTGGTGCAGCACTACAGCCAGCAGGAGGATGGACTGTGTGTCCGGCTCAGACAGCCCTGCAAGAAGGTACTGACCACTACACATACACACCGGTAACTACTGAACTACTGACACTGCTAACTTCTCTAACACTGAGCACTACTTATTAGTCAACTACTGAACTATTGCCCACTGTTAACTTCTCAACCACTGACCACTACTAACTTCTCAACCACTGACCTCTACTGACTTCTCAACTATTGAACTTCTGACCACTGCTAACTTCTCAAACACTGACCGATACTGGCTAGTTAACTACTGAACTATTGACCACTGTTAACTTCTCAACCACTGACCACTACTGATTGACTCAACTACTGAACAGTACTGATGACTGAGCTATTAACCAGAACTAACTGCTAATGAGCACAGAACTACTGACCACTACTGACTTAACTACTGACCACCACCATTGACTACTCAACTACTGACCACTACCACTGACTTATCAACTATTGATCACTACTGACCACTACTGATTTCTCAACTACTGTAAAATAAGACTTTTGTTGTGTGTGTGTGTGTGTGTGTGTGTGTGTGTGTGTGTGTGTGTGTGTGTGTGTGTGTGTGTGTTTTGTGTTTGCTAGGCTGAAGCTCCACAGACTTATGGTCTGTCCTACAACACGGTGGATCAGTGGGAGATCCCCCGCAGCTCTATCCAGCTGCTGCAAAAACTCGGTGCTGGACAGTTCGGAGAGGTTTATGAGGGAGTGTGGAATCGCACGACTTCAGTCGCTGTGAAAACTCTCAAACCAGGTAAACACACTCTCACACACAGTGATGCCACAGGCAGAACATCTCTTAAAAGGCCCTTAAACAGAGCAGGTGTTGATGTGTGTGTTCTGCTGGCTCTTCAGGCAGTATGGATGCCGAGGACTTCCTGCGTGAAGCTCAGATCATGAAGAAGCTCCGACACCCCAAACTGATCCAGCTGTATGCAGTGTGCACTGTGGGGGAGCCCATCTACATCATCACTGAGTTAATGAGCAACGGCAGCCTGCTGGAGTACCTGCAGAGTGAGATATACAAACACCCAATTGCATTTACAGATACATGCATTTATGCACATCCAGATCAGCACGTTCCAGGACTGGAATTCAGTGTTTACTTAGGACTTCTGGAACTGATCTTTAAACCTCCAAGCACTGCCCCTCATGTAACTGTCATAATGGGTGTAGCAGGCCGTCCTCACACTGCCTGAATAAAGTTTACTGTCCTCATACATGTCCCCTCAAAGGTCCGACGTTATCTTTAAGGTTTTAAAAGTGAACTAAATTCACTTTCCAAGAGGGTAGTTTTTGAAAGGGGAGGGGAACATTGGTACATTTTAATAACAAATCTATTTTAGTAAATGTAGCACACCATGTGCCACCCTGGGAGAAGAAGAACACGATGCAGTGTTGACAACGGCAGCATACATTTCCTTCTATTTTCCACACAGAACATGAACAAACAAATCCAAAACACACCACTTCAATCCTTTTTCCTCTCTCCTCACTCTTCCCTCTCCACTCCCTTTAAAGGTGCTCACGCTGCCGAAGCCAAACCAGAGTCAGCTGTTTCTCATTAAGGGCAGCATGAGGACCTGAGCCAAGAGAGAAAGAGAGAGCTCATTGCTCCGCCTCCCCGTCACTGCCCTGCAGTTTGGCCACCGGGTTCAAACGTCAGGTGTAATACTGCGGCCTCACTGCGGAACGAAAGGCGTTGCTCAGGAGGCAGGGCTCAGGACTTTGGCACTGACCTCAAAGCTCTTGTGGCTGTCATTGTTCTCTCATCCTCTCTCATGGCTGATGTCAGCTCACAGGATTTGGGCACCACTTTCCTACTACCTCTCATGGCTGTCTTCGGTGCCCAGGGATCGGACACCCAGCACAGTAGAAAAATAAAACTGAAAAGCAGACAAAACTCTGCGGGAAGCCAAACCTGAAGTACATTCACATTAATATATGTTGAAGTTTTTAAGGTTGGATTACACCTCAGTTTTGGGCGTTCTCCAATGTTGCTCATTGATCTTTGAAGAAGGGTGACTTAATGATGCTCTGTTTTCTCTGTCCACGGTGATCTGCAATTGTCTGAACTGGCTGAAGTCGTTGTCCTGCGTTTTCTCCACAGCTAAGCTGGGTGGTCCCTAGATAGAGTGATGACGCAGTAGTGAAGGGGAGTATCCCAGATGACCAATCCTTCATCATCAATACAAAAAGCATGGAAACTGACTTTTGTCCTCTGCCTGCACATTACTTTTTTCTGTTAGCCTGAAGGCCACTGCCCACCAGACGCACCATGTTGCATTGCGTAGTGTCCAAAAATTTTAATGGAGGTACACACGGCACTGGTGCATTGATGCATGCCGGCATTCCAGCGTGACTCGCAGCACGCCACATAGCATTTTGCCATTACTACATTAATTTAAAGCCTTATCGAGGCCACAGAAAGCCACAGTGGATCACATGTGGCTTGAAATTTACACAGAGGAAGACAGATGCTAATGGTGAGTTAGCTCAGCTAAAGTTACTAGCCTAGCCTTTTTCAGCTCGTATCATTCAGCTCTAAAATAGTCAGTCTGTGTAGGGGCTGTAAACTGAGGCCAAGTGTGATGAGATGCTGGAGTGGAGTGTAAAAGTGAATTTGAACCTGGCGTTTATTGGCTCTCCCTGCTGGCATTCTGCTGTCATGCTGTGCTGCAGGCTGTGTCCGGTGGGCAGTGGCCTTTAGTCTTACTAATATAGCCCCCAATGCTAGGATCTCTCTATAAAAAGACCCATCGACCTGGGCCAGGTGGATCTAGATTTCAGACTGTAATTCCACTTAAGAGAGTGCTGGAAGAATGGATTACCATTACATCAAACAATCCTTCATGTTATCTCAAAACTTTTTCCTTCAGGTGTAACCATGGAGGTTACCCACTCTGGATTTTCATCAGAATGGCCAATTTCTAATTTTATTTCTTTCATCTGGATTATGACAGGTTTTCCCTGCAGCTGCTGTCTAAACTTCTGTGTCAGGGACAAAAACTGAATTTTTTTCAAATGTGGGGGAGGAGAGCATATACTGGATTTTATAGAAGAAATAGCTGTTTGGGAGAAACTCCTCATTCCTTTGACTTTTAGCTGAACTTTTTGCTTCAAATATTTCTTTCTTTATTTCTCTCTCTCTCCTGCAGAAGACAGAGGAGCTGCTTTACGTCTTTCTGATCAGATAGAGATGGCGGCTCAGGTTGCAGCAGGTATGGCGTACCTGGAGCTGCAGAACTACATCCACAGAGACCTGGCAGCCCGGAATGTTCTGGTGGGGGAAAACAACGTGTGCAAAGTGGCAGATTTTGGTCTGGCCAGAGTGTTTATGGTAAGAAACAACACAAACCACATGTTCACACCTCAGATCACTCTGATCATTCTGCTGATCCACATGGAGGTCAGTGACTCTCCCTCAGTTCAGCTCAGTGTGAGCTGTTTTATTGGTCTGATTAATAATGTGTTACAAAAGATCAGATTGGGAAAAATAAAATAAATTATTGACCCTTTGAGTTTATTTAAAAAACCATAGCAGCTTTTCAACTGTAAGAAAGTAAATGGTAATAATAAATTATAATAAATAAACATTTTGTTTCTCTGTCAGAAAGAAAATGATAGCATTGATGATGGAGATGAGGAGAACGTGTACCAAGCGAGAGAGGGCACTAAATTCCCGGTGAAGTGGACGGCTCCCGAGGCCATTCATGACAATAAATTCAGTATCAAATCTGATGTCTGGTCATTCGGCATCCTGCTGTACGAGATCATGACCTTCGGACAGATGCCTTACCCAAGTACGATCACACACACATACACACACCAGCACAGCAGTGGACTCCAACTCTGGTCCTGGAGATCTACATTCCTGCAGAGTTTAATTTCCAAACTGTATCCATTAAGCTGCCCCACCCCGTACTTAACTCCAGCTAATCAGGGACTTGGGAAGAGGCAGCAGATTGTAGATGGAACTAGACTCTGCAGTAAGGTAGATCACCAGGACCAGGGCTGGAGACCACTGACCTACACACAGACACACTACATACACAAAGACACCCTACACACACACACACACACACACACACACACACAGACACACACACACACACACACTATATACTCACTGTATCTCTTTCTCTCTCTCAGCTCTCACTAATTCCCAGGTTGTGCAGAAGCTGCGTAGCAGCTATCGAATGTTGTGTCCATCAAACTGTCCAAAGGTTCTGTATGACATAATGATGGACTGCTGGAAGGACACGCCCGCTGACCGGCCCACCTTCGAAACACTGCAGTGGAAACTCGAGGACTTCTTTGACCTGGATGTCAGCTCCTATGATGACGCAAACCGCTACTGACCAACTGCTCCACCGACATTGGTTCCCACACCAATGGCTACCCTGGCAACATCTCCCATGGCAACAGTCCATGAGCAACAGCCCCCTTGGCAACAGTTGCCCCACCAACATCTCCCATGGCAACAGTCCATGAGCAACAGCCCCCTTGGCAACAGTTACCCAAGCAACAGCATCCATAGCTATGGCTCAATGGTGAAGGCCCAACATCAACAGCCCCCTTGGCTAACCTGACGACAGCCCCTCAGCACTGATGCCATTCTTGTTTTTTTTATTCTGGCAGAGTTTAAATCTAAATATACTTTAAAAGTATAATCAAATATCCAAAGACACCTTAAATCCACAACTACACATGCCAGGTGTGATAATGCTGACCTGCTCTCTGCTTCAGGGCTGTTTTGCACCTTGTCAAATTGTCCTCACTGTTTCCTCTTGGAGAAATACCCAACTCCATCTTAAGGGCTCTCATCCTAAATGCAGTGCCATCACTGCTCAGCTGAAGTTTAGAGGGGTGAGGGATCAAGTTAAACATAAATCTAGATTTCTGAAACATAATTTACCCAGAAATCATTGTGATCTGACACAATTTCCTGTTCAAAGCTGGAACAATGGCACACAAAGCTGTTCATACCAGAGCAGTATGTAGTAAACTAGCTGTAATATGTGACTGTTGATTTATCTTCTTTACTTTCTCTGCTAGCTTGCTAGTTAGCAAGCTAAATGCTACACAGCCTTCAACAACAAAAGAGAAGCTCCACTGTTTCATCTTAAACCCTGAAGATCCAGATAGAATAATTATACTGAAAATGAATGTATGTTTGCTCTTTAAAAAACAGTTTACATCACCAAGTTGGCTTGGCTAATTAGCACACTAGAGCTACCCTAGAGACCAGATAGACTATACACAATCTAGCTAGTTAACCCACTGAACAATGGAGGTGTAAAATAAACATACTTGATGTTCAAATATTGTAATCATCAGTTGAAACTTTCGTCCTGACAATCCAACTCTGTACACAGTTAGAAGAGTCGGTTCTGAGGGCCGAGATGAACTGTTCCATACAGATACGGAACGTTTACACGCAGGGATTCACTGATCAACTTGACTCGACATTTTCTACATCACTTTTCTGAGGCCTCATCCAGCGTTATTTCAAGAACAGTCCGTAATTCTGAGTTCTCCATGCTGTCATGTGGCACAGAATGGTGAGCACTGCTGCTGAGTCACTGTTGTTTCTGTAGGTTTTTTTTCTGTGTTTCCTGATTTAGCAGTGCACTAATAACCTGTCACACGAGTTTTCAGTCACCACTACTTTTCGCTTCTACAGAACAGTGAAGTGCAGTTAGTGTGGAAACTGCATTTTGACTTAGTCCTGCTGATGGTCGATTGGGTATCTCAGGTACCGAGCTGAGTGCTGAGGGGAAGTCTGCGCGAGTGTTTAAAAGACAGAAATGTTGAGGAGCTGGGTTTCACCTTCCTGTCGGACAAAGTGCTGTTTCACAATGTGCATCTGAAGTGATGGTTCAGAGAAAAACCAAATTCTTTCAGTTTCTCCACTCAGCCCTTCCCAAACTGAGTAGATCAGCCAAGACATGTTTCTGAAGTTTGCTTTTTCAGTCTTAGCCC